ACACCTCCCCACTCTACACCACCCCACTCCCCACCTCCCCACACCTCCCCTCCCCCCTCCCCCCTCCCTCCCCCCCCTCTCTCTTTCTTTCTTTCTTTCTTTCTTTCTTGTTTCCTTTTCATCTCTGATTTTATTAGTTTGCCTCTCTTTCCATCTTTAAGTTAATTTGGCTAAAGGTTTATCAGTCTTACTGATCTTTGTCAAGAATTAATTCATTTAATTGATTATTTGTGTTGTTTTTGTTGTTGGTGGTGGTAGGGGTGTTTGTCAGTTCATATTTTTTTGGTTTCAGTCCTGAGTTCACTTAGTTTTCAGCACCCGTGTTTGGTGGCTTACCACTGCCTACCTCCAGCTCTAGGACATCTGAGGCCCTCCTATAGACTCATATTACCACTGTACCCACATGTACAAACCCCCCTTAGACATACAATTTACATATAAGTAATGACACAGTTTAAAAAAAATAATAAAAATAGGATGGTGCCTGTAATTATAGGCTCAGCTGTTGTCTTAGTCAGGGTTTCTATCCCTGCACAAACATCATGACCAAGAATCAAGTTGGGGAGGAAAGGGTTTATTCAGCTTACACTTCCACATTGCTGTTCAAAGGAATTTAGGACTGGAACTCAAGCAGGGCAGGAATCTGATGTATAGGCCATGGAGGGATATTACTTATTGATTTGCCCCCACTGCCTTGCTCAGCTTGCTTTCTTATAGAACCCAAGACTACCAGCTCAGGGATGGCACCACCCACAATGGGCCTTCCTCCTCCCTTAATCACTAATTGAGAAAATGCCTTACAGCTAGATCTCATAAAGACATTTCCTCAACTGAGGCTCTTTCTCTGTGATAACTCCAGCTTGTGTCAAGTTGACACACAAAACCAGCCAATACAGCTGTTGTTTGATGTTCTGACAGGTCCTACTTGTGACAGTGTTGAGGATGACATGAATGCTTCTGCCCGTGGAGCCTCTGCTACAGTGTTGGAAGAAACAAGAAAGGAAACTGCTCCTGTTCAGCTCCCTGTTTCAGGGCCAGAACTGGCGGCTATGATGAAGATTGGAACCAGGGTCATGAGAGGGGTGGATTGGAAGTGGGGTGACCAGGTATTCAGGGATTTCATTAACATCTTAGCACGTCTCATGTATCAATCAGTAGGAGTTAGAGTAGGTGGCTTCCTGAATTCAGGACTTGTAAGATTGATAGATGACTTAGCTGCTGATTTCTGAACAATACAATACAGACAAAAGACATTGTCTTTCTCCTGATGTCATGGGGATTTTCTCAGCCACACTGCTTAAGCATGTGTTTTGTCACAGTATTCGCAGAAGTAAAATTGTCGGAGACCAAGTAATAGCATGCTATCAACAGCTTTTTTCCTTTAGAATGGCTGATAGGGTAATGCTGTGGGGCCTAGGTTCGAACTCTAAAGAAGTGATCAGATCATTGGAGAGACCATTTCCATGGTTAGGACACTCATTAATAGGTTTGTTCAGAGTCCCCTAGTTGAGAGAATTTACTCCATGTCTCTGTATTTCTTTGATAAAGGAATATGAACATGTGATTTTTGTGGCATTTAAAGATAACATGATCTGTACTTTTTTTTCAAGTAAGTTTGAGTCAGTAGGATGCTGATGGAAAGTCTGTATACAGAATTTATACAGGAACTACAGTGGGTCCAGAACAGGACACACACTCTCTTACCTGGTTTATGTTTTTACTTTTTCAGGATGGGCCTCCTCCAGGTCTAGGCCGAGTCATTGGTGAGCTGGGAGAGGATGGCTGGATCAGGGTTCAGTGGGACACAGGCAGCACTAACTCATACAGGATGGGAAAAGAAGGAAAATACGACCTCAAGCTGGTGGAGCTCCCTGTGTCATCACAGCCCTCTGCAGAGGATTCAGACACAGAGGATGACTCTGGTGGGTGACTCACAAAGTCTTTTAGTTCAAGATAGCTGGGCAAATTGTTCATGTGTTAAATAGCTTTCATTTCCCTCTGGGAAGTTAGACAGTGATCAGGATTCATCTGAAGAGATTTCTTTGGCTGCACTTCAGACACAAGATTCTGATATAGCTGTATAATGGGGCTCTACGTCTAGTAACCCAGACAGACTGATCTGTCTTAACCTTTACTTCCCGATGGCCTTGTCAGAGGAGGATGGAAAAGAGGGTATGCAGCAGTACTTTTAAAATTAGATCTTAACAGTGTGTGTATGTGTGTCTGCCAGGTTTGGTGGCAGGTTTCTACCTGATGATCCTTAAAAAACCAAAACCCATTTATTAATTTATTTTGTGGAGGTTGAGGCACAGACATTCCACAGCATACCTGTAGAGGTTAGAAGACAACTATGGGAGTCTCTTTTCACCATGTAAATTCTGGGGAGCAGACTGAGGTTGTCAGGCTTAGTAGTAAGGACCTATACCCACTAAGCCAGCTTCCTGGTCTTTAGCCTTACTTCTGATTGGTTTGTGTGGTTGGCCAAAGCCTGATAGTAAGTGACATGGTGGATTCAGCGTTATGTTTTGTTGTTCTGGACCATTTGCTTTCTCTTCCATCAGCTTCAAGTTGCAAGGTATGACCACACCTGCTTCCTTTGAGCACCTCCATATTCTTTGATTTAGAATACTTCAGCCTGTCTAGCAACACAGAGAATTTGGAAGTGGATCTAAGCTGTAGTATGTGCCTCTGGACCACATGTGTGTAGCCCCCATTTCAGCTGTATCTGGGGTATTCCTCATTGTAGAATGAGAGCCAGGAAGAGGTAGATATGTGATAGTGGTGACCTCCTTGTCCCACAGATAGATTGGCTGGCTACACAAGTGGTCTATCAACTGCCTTCACTCAGGTTGTCGCTCCTAGACATTTGATAAGTTGTCTTTCTAAAGAAGGGAAACTTCGTTATAATTTTTGCTTCTGAGTTATATAATGAGGTTGCTTAAACAGAATGTTACTCTAAAAGTCTCATTTTTTTTTTTAGGGTAGAATAGATGGTTCAGTTCATAAAAGTGCTTATCATTGTCCAGCATGAGGCCCTGAATTAGATCCGTAGTTAAAAGCTGGCGCAGTGATACACATGCTTGTAATCTGAACTCTGGTTGGTCTTAGACTCACTCACCAGACATGCTAGCCTAATCAGCAATTCCCAGGTTTTGTGAAAGCCATCCCTGTCTCATATAGTTGAATGGATGTTACCTGAAGAAAGAAGACACCTGAAGTTTTCCTCTGGTTTCTATACACTGAGTACCTGTACAACTCACACCCCCAATGTAATTTTTTTAAGGAAGGTAGAGACAGAAATGATTGGGGCAGCCAGGTACAGCGGTGAGAAGCTGAGACAGGCTGTCTTGGACCCAGGAGTTTGAGCTAGGCTGGGTAAATATATATATATATATAACTGAGACTCTGTCTCTTGGGAAAAAAAAGAAAGGGAGAAAGAGAATAAATTGTAAGTTTTACCTTTTCTCGTGAAGATGTTTCCCTTTCTAGTATTAAAACACAACTAAGTCATCTGTCAGTCTTATAAGTACTGAGTTCCGGTAACCACCTATTCTAAATTCTAAAAAACCAGTTTGTTAGTTCTGTGTACCTTCTTAATTTTATTGTGAACCTAGAAATAGTCTAAAATTTGCTGGAGTTTTTGAAAAGAAAAAAGAATGTGATATTAAACACCTTAATGATATCCACAGACAATTTTATTTGAAATTGTCATTTCTTATTGCCATTCTCCTTTTCAGAAACAGAACAAGGTGAAAGGAACATTCACCCCACTTCAATGATGCTGACCAGCGTTATTAACTTACTGCAAACTCTGTGTCTCTCTGTTGGAGTTCATGCTGACATCATGCAGAGTGAGGCCACCAAGACTTTGTGTGGACTGCTTCGAATGTTAGTGGAAAGCGGAACAACAGATAAGCCATGTATGAAATGAATAATTATGGGCCACAGAACCTCAGCATGGATATATGTGTGTAAATCTCTCATATTTGTGTGTTTGTGGGTAAGTCTGGATGTTAGAATGTGAATCAGCACGCATGTGAGGAGTGATGTAATGAAGTTCCTTGGCTGCTGTACCAAGACATTATAAACAAGGTATAATAAACCACAAAGTCCTGGCAGGGCTAGTTTCTTCTCAGGCTACCAGAGAGAATCTCTTCTGGCTTCTCTAGCATTGGTGGTTTGCTTGGCATTTTTTGGCTTGTAGGCACATGAACCTAGTCTGTATCTTCTCATTCACATGATTTTCTCTGTACATTTGTGTTTATGTGCATGTGTTTCAGATTTACTTTTTACAAGAATGCCAGTTAACCTCATCTGGTCTAATTTACATCTTCAATGACTCCATTTCTAAACAAGATCACATTTTGAGATACTAGCACTTTAACATGTGAATGGGTTTGGGAGTTGGGGGAGGTGTGTTTGTGGCAACTAGTCAACCTCTAATGTTCCTTTAGAGTTCTGGAGATTAGAAATCCTCAAGGCAGGTTGTCCACAGAGCTGTGCTCCTCACTGAGCTCTAAAGGAAGGTCTCCCTTTTCCTTTTGTTGTCAGTTTTGTGCTGCAGACCTCACTGGTAATCTGTGCGTATGTCTTCACGTAGTCTGCATCACTTCATGACCTGTTCTCTCCTGGGAATCTTTCATTTGCTTTGGGTCAGCCCAATCCAGCGTGTTATCTCAGTCTTTATTATTAATCTGCATAGACTTTATTTCCAGCTAGGCTCAAATGCTGGTGTTCTGACTGAGTGTCAGTGGCAAATATGGAAGTAGGGTGAAAGAACTTGTGAGCATATGTGCCTCTTAGCACGCTTGTGAATGTGAGTGTGCATAAATGTGTTTAGATACATTTGTGGTTGAGTGAGTGTGTGCTAGCTCTGTGTCAGTATTTAAATTTCAGTGTGCTGATATGAGACAGGATATGTTTGTCATTGCTGAGTTTTCTAGTCAGAGTTCTCTAGAGAAACAGAACTGATAGAATTAATGTATCAGAATGAAAACAGGGTTTCTTAGAGTGGCTTACATGATTTGATCTATTACAACAGTGACTTGTCACCCAAAAGAAAGTCCAAGAGTCCAGTAGTTTGGTCCACAAGGCTGAATGTCTCTGCTGATCTTCAGCTTATGCAAGAATCACAAAGATTCTGGCACCAGTGAGGGAGCAGACTTGCCAGTGAGAGTGAGGGCAAGCAGGCAGAGCAAACACTTCCCTTGTGTATATAGCAAAATTACATTTAGGAAGTAGCAATGAATATGAGGAATGGTATTAAAAGGTTGTAGAATTAGGAAGGTTAAGAACCTTTGTCCTATGTTCTTTATATAGGCTCCCACCAGAAGGTGTAGTTGCGATTTAAGATGGGTCTTATTTCAAATGATCTAATCAAGAAAAATTCCTCACACTTAATGAGTGATTCTGTGTTGGGAGCATGAAGGTATCTGTTTGAGTGTTTCAGTGTGATTGTGTAAGTATAAAGTAAATGTCTGTTAGGGCATACCAATGTGGGCAAATAGTTGCATGAGCTATAGTATGAATGAGCTTGTATGTATGTTCCAGTTGTGTGGGTGCAGGTGTGTGAGCGTAATTAGAATTTTGTATATGAAGCATGGTTGAACGTACAGGAGTGATTGAGGATGTGTAGGCATGTTATTGGGTGTAAATCTGAGTTTGGCATGCTTAAGTGGCACTGAAAGTACAGGAATCTATGTGTGGGTGAAGGGGATAAAAATGAGTAGACATGGTCAGTGAAGGGCTCCAGCCAGCCCACATATGGCAGGCATGGCTCTGGCAGGCCTTGCCCTGCTCCTTGTTCCTTCTTGTAGTGGTAAATCTCCAACCCAGATAAGACTGGTCAAAGAAAACACAACTCGATAATTATGGATATAAACTGCATGCCTAGATTGAGCCGATACACCACTACACTACTCTATTCCCCAGCTATGAGACCCTTATAACTTGCGGTTTTTCCAGGCCACATGTTTCTCCTCCATTATCCTTCCACCTCCTGCTCCTCTGTAGTCTTCCTCTTCCACCTCCCTCTCTCTCTCTTCTCCCCCAAACCTTTCTCTCCAGAAGGTTCACAAGAAGTCACCTGTGTACTGATTCACTCCTCCTCTGCAGCTCCTCCCTGGAAAGTGGAATTAGCATCAAAATACAAGGCCAGGCTATCCACCACACTTCCCCCTTTCTGTCCAATTAAAAGACTCTTTCCTCTCAGATATAAATTGAACACAACTCTCTTACTATATTGTAATTGTTAAAGTACAAGATAGACCTAATACACAGTCCATCATTTTTGTTACTAAATAGGACCTCTGCCATCTCCTAATTAAAAGACTTAGTTCTGAACCTGGCTTATGTCCTGTCTTTAGAATGAATGCCATCTGAAAACCATCCTCTCAAAGTAAAGAGCCTGGGTTGGCTGTGACACTATAAGTCTTTAACCCCATTAGAAATCCAGAATGACTGAATTAACTGAAGATATGGGAAGCACAAACTGTGGCTTCTAAAACTTAGCCAATTTATAGAGACTGCTGAACACCTGGACAGTCCCTTCAAAACGTTGGGGCATCTGGTCTTCAGCCTTCTTCTGGCCCAGGATCATCTGACAGACCTAGTGATGCAGAATTATTTAGGGCTGATCACTCTGTCTTGGCAGATATAATCAGTCGACTATTCCGCAAGTGTGTCCTTTTCTGGACAGTAATTTGTCTTTAGATGAAAAGAGGCAATTCTTGCCTCGTGACTGTCTCACCACAACTGGAACAACTCCAAAGATGCCCAGTTTCTTCTTAGAATCCAAGACAGGAAGCTGTCGGGAGCAGACAGGTCTCTAATCAAGTGAACGTTTATACAGGAATGTTGACATTACTGTCAATCCTGTGGACGTCTGACGTTTTGAAAACCAACTATCTATGTAAAGCAATCTGGACTGTTGTCCGTTTACTCCTCTCCGTTATTTCTAATTAAAATCTAGGAAACACCCTAACAATAAACTCAGAGCCATGCAGTCGCTATAGGCCCTTAACTCACAGGCTAACCATCTCAAATTAGTTTAAAAAGAAGTTAAAGAAGGACTGGGTCTAAGCCTTGTATTCCTAAATGTGTTATAGGCACAATGCCTATATGAGAGTAACAATATTAATCTCACTTTTATATCAATAAGAAACTCATACCAGTGAAAACCTTAAATTTGTACAAAATAAATTCTAGACCAGTGTAAGAGATTATAACTTCAACTTTGTATCAAATATAAAGATTTCTACCAATGTAAGATACACCTATGTAATGTTTCACTTAAGAGTAAATTTGCTAACCTAACCCTATTTGTCTATTTCTGTGATATTAGGTCTATCTTGTACTTTAACATTTACAATATGGTAATATAGTTGTGTTCAATTTATATCTGAGAGAAAAGTCTTTTTTTTTTTTTTTTGAGAAAAGTCTTTTAATTGAACAGAAAGGGAGAAGTGTTGTGGATAGCCCTGTCTGGCCTTGTATTTTGATGCTAATTCCACTTTCCAGGGAGGGGCTGCAGAGGAGGAGTAAACTTTTATCTCAGGTTAGATGAGTTCTAAGCAATAAGTTGGGCACCAATTTGTAGAAGTAATTACTTAATTCTGCCACTGGTCAGGTGGACTATCTAAGCTGCAGTGGCTCTGCCTAGCTCAGCTGCCATGTTCTGCAGCTAGAGACCACATTCGCGCCACAGCTAGAAACGGCCAGCCAGAAACACTGGCCCTGCTACCCACGAGATGCCAGTGTGGGAGATGGCTATGACAATCTTCCACGCTGTTTCCACATGGTTGGGCTGAGCCCAGACCATCCTGCCATCCACTCAGTACCAGGTATGAATGAAACTCTAGTGCTTAAAGATTAACCAATGGCTTTATATGTTTGGTCATGCTCAATAACAGTATGCCCATACAATTAGTGGTGTTTTCTCAATTAGCTAACCTAAATATAAGTTGTTACCTAGGACTGCTTTCCATACCCGAGTGGTTCTCATCCTCCTACTTCTCTGCTCTCTTGCTCCTCCTCTTCCTCCTCCTTCTTTCTCCCCTTCTTCCTCCTCTTCCTCTCCTTCTTCCTCCTCTTCCTCTCTTTACTCCTCCCACCTTAGCTCCTCCCAACTTGTGAGGAAAATTTCTTGATATACTTCTTCCATGCTAAAAACTGTTAGATTACATTCCTAAAGCTAGCCACCAGGGTCCATTCCTGTATTTGACCCTTCTTCCCGAGGCTAACTACCAAGGTCCAGCTATCAAAGTATTGAAGTCCTGCAATCAAAAGACCCCTTTGGCTCACTTAATTAACTTGTCTAATTAAAATTTAAGCGCCTCATCCTAACACAGGGTTTTCCCATTTACCTTTATAAACCGCCATTTGCTTATGGACCACGTCTGTCTCCTCTCTATCCAGAGGTACTCTACCTCTTCTCCCCTCTCCCTTTTCCCTTCCCCTTCTCCCTTGTCCTCTATATCCTCTTTGTCTCTTATTCCCTGCCTTTTGTCCCTCTGGGGCAAATAAATCTCCTTTGTGTTGAGAACTTGGTTGGGGTTCTTGAGCCGATACCGATACCGTTCCTTTTCCATTGTGATAATACATGACAGTATGGAAGGAAGCAGGGTGGAAGGAAGAGAGCGTAAGGGAGC